ACTTTATTCATTTTGACGCTGTAGAACTAACAGTGTTGCTAAGTGAAGCTAGGTGGTAAGGGGCAGAGAAGTACAGAAACCTCAACGTCCTAGTTCCATCCTGGGCAGCTTCCAGTAACTGTTTTAAATTAATGAAGCAACAAATGTAGCTCAAAGTGTAATATTTAGAATTAAGATAACAAAGAAGAAATATGGCAACAAAATTGAGAAATGTATAAAGTTAATTTCCTAATCGTCCAAAGCAGCAACTTGAGTCAAGAGGGAAAAGACACAAATTAAGAAATAGAAGTGTAAGTACACTGTTTACAGAAAGGAAGCAAACATTCAAGAGAACTGAAATCACAGGGTGACGATATGAGCAGTGAGACTGAGGGTGGGAAGTGGAAGGAGAACATTAGTTTTCATTTTATATAACTTTTTTATTATTCTGAGTTTTTATTTCCAAGTATTATGATTATTTTTATGATTAAAAAATGTCATTAAAAATCCTGTGTTTGTTATTTTAGAAAGTAAATGTGGGCAGGAAACATAAAAAATTTTCAAAGTTGCTTGACTTAATAATAAATATAGTTGATTAATTTTCAAAGATATATAGTAGAGAATTGCACCTAAATTTACTACCTATTAGCTAATATTTATTTAATCAATGAACCCAAATATACATATTTTCCTTTATAATAAAACTAGAGGCCCAATGCACAAAATTCATGCAAGGGGCTCAGCCCCTGCAGCCCTGCCCATTGGTCATTCTGAAAGGTCGTCCAGAAGGTCGTTCTACTGTCTGGTCAAATTAGCATATCAGCTCTTTATTATATAGGATCATAAGGTGTTGTAAAAGGCATAATCATAACACTGGTTCCTTTATTTGTTTCTGAGGCTTATCACCCTGATCAAGGTTCTATTATAAACCTGTAACATCATATAAAATAAGCCATGCGCTTATAATACGTAAGCTCCCCATGAATTATAAGACAGATACCTTTGGAAGATGAATTAACTATTATGAATCAAAAATGTTATTAAACACTGTAATCAAATCATAACTGGCTTTTTTTAAAACTTTAAAAAATTCCTTCACATTATTAGGAAGCTTTCAAGCCTCTAATTACTGAGCATCACTCGGCTTTCATCCTCTCTAATTCCCCTTTGGCAGGTGCTAATGAAAACACAGACAACACAGCAGGCTAAAGAGTGAAGAAAGAAAAATAAGATTAGGATAATTTCTGTCCACTAACACTTCCTTCCTTAAGCAGCAGGACAACAGAAACTCTGTTGTCTGAAATAGTTGAGAGAACAGCTGTATGATGTTTGAAAGATATAAATATAAAACAAAACTTGTTTAAATTAAAAACAAAAGCTGCTACATAGGATCACCTAGAATTCTACGACTTATGATTTTTTTAAAAAAAATTATACCAAAATTTCTTCAGCCTTTCAATTTGTGCCTACATCTATTTCTTCCTTGGGTCACTTAAGTAAAAGACAAAAGAAAATGAATAAAGATATGAGGAATCTATACTAATAAAAGCCTCAGTGGTCCTCGTGCCCTCATGTGACGCCCTCATGTCGTCACAAGATGGCCACCACAAAATGGCCGGCAGGGGAGGGCAATTGTGGGTGATCAGGCCTGCACGGAGGGAAGTTGGGGGCAACCAGGCCAGCAGGGGAGGAGACTTGGGGACAACCAGGCTGGCAGGGGAGGGCAGTTAGAGAGGGTGCAGGCCAGGCTGAAGGACACTCCCCCCCCCCACCCCCGCACGAATTTCATGCACCAGGCCTCTAGTGCAGTGATGGCGAACCTATGACACGTGTGTCAGATGTGACACGTGAACTCATTTTTTTGGTTGATTTTTCTTTGTTAAATGGCATTTAAATATATAAAATAAATATCAAAATTATAAATTTTTGTTTTACTATGATTGCAAATATCAAAAAATTTCTATATGTGACACGGCACCAGAGTTAAGTTAGGGTTTTTCAAAATGCTGACTCGCTGCTCTAGTGTATTATAATAACGTGAAGATAAAAGAAATGAGAAGTAAAAAGAAACCACATACATACAGAATTTATTTTACAAAACCTAGATATATGAGAGTATTTAAAATACTACCCAGAGCAAACAATATGCAAATATCCTTAAAGTAAATTATTTCCCTCCCTTCCCATACCTTACTCATTCTGGAAATAAACAACAGACACAATGTCAACATACCATATCAGAGCAAAATATGCCAATAATTCTCATCTTTTAATTTTAGGATTTTAAAAATGTATGGAGAATTGTATTTTTCATGATTAAGATAATACATGTGTTGCCTTTTATTAGAATAAAAAAGAGTCTTTTCCTTTCAAAATCACTTGTTTTACTTATTCCAGTTTTCATCTCAAACTAAATAAGCTTCAGTATTTCTGCTTGTCTTTTTGTACAAGAATACACAAAAAGAATTTAGACAATGACTAAATGCAGTCATCTCCACTCTGGGTACAAACAGGAGTAAAGTGAAAGAGAGCTCAAATCTAGGCCATAGGGCACTCAAGGAGTAAGGTAGTTAGCTTACGTAATCTGATTTCAATACCACTAGTTAGAAATACTACAAACAACTACAGTCATGTATAAATTGCTCTGTATAGTATTGGACAATGGACTTCATAATCAAACAGAGATAAGTTCAAATCATCGTTTTCCTACTTACTAGATTTACAACTTGGACAAGTTATTTAAATCCTTTGAGCACCAAAGGGTAAAGGGCATCAAATATATAGTAATGGAAGAAGATCTGACTTTGGGTGGTGGGCATACAATGCAATTTACATATATGTATCATAGAACTGTACACTTGAAACCTGTATGATCTTACTAACCAATGTTACCCTGATAAATTTAACAAAAATGAAATGATAATATGTACTAGAACAGGCACCAATGCTTTGGCACATGCTAGGGAGTTTAAAATGTTAAATCACCCAGCCAGTGTTGCTCAATGGTTGAGTGTCGACCTATGAAACAGAAAGTCATGGTTTGATTCCCGGTATGGGGCATGCAGGAAGCAGCCGATCAATAATTCTCTCTCATCATTGATATCTCATCATTGATATCCCGCCCGCCCCCCCCCCACCCCGCTTCCTCTCTGAAATAAAAAAATTAAAAAAAAATTAAAAAGATGTTAGCCCTAGTCGGTTTGGCTCAGTGGATAGAGCATCAGCCTGCGGATCAAAGGGTCCCGGGTTTGATTCTGGTCAAGGGCATGTACGTTGGTTGCAGGCTCCTCCCCGGCCTGGGCCCTGGTTGGGCTCAACCAATCGATGTGTTTCTCTCACATCAATGTTTCTTTCTGTCTTTTCCTCTCTCTTCCACTCTCCCTAAAAATCAATGGAAAAATATCCTTGGGTGAGGATTAACGAAAAACAAAACAAAACAAAAATGTTAAATCACATCTCCAACTGTACTATGCTAATGAGCTAGTTTATTCCACCTAAAGACTTGTTTCATTTAGGTTCTCAGATCTCCAGTTTAAAGCAACATCCTTTAGTAGTTTTTCATGACTTCAGTGTGCCACTTCACAACTGATTTGTTTTGGAAGACGTTGCACCATTTGATTATCAGTTATCATTTGAGGAGCAGTTAATGTATTAAAATATTTTTAAACTGGGCATTTATTCACTATTCTTACATATGCATGTACTAGTATAAGAAACATGATAATAAAGAAATCAGGGTAAAATAATGAGACAGACAAAATACATATGTTTATAAACTCATGTCTCCTATTTTAAGTGTAGTTCCATGTTTTTGTTGTTGTTTGTTTCTTTTTGTTTTCATTGGTTTCAGAAAAAGGAAGGGAGAGAGAGAGATAGAAACATCAATAATGAGAGTGATTCATTGATCAGCTGCCACCTACTGGGGACCGAGCCCGAAATCTGGGCATTTGCTCTGACCAGAAATCAAATCATAACCTCCTGGATCATAGGTCAATGCTCAACCACTAAGCCACACTGGCCGAATTGTAGTTCCATGTTTTAGTTTTGACCCTGAGGTTACATGAAATCACCCTATCAGATCCCTTCCTTTCTCAATTATATGCAAGAATAACATAAAATTTCTTTTTGCTGTTCCACGTGCAAAAAAAGGTTTTAATTGCACATAAGTTAAGGGAAGTTAACATATAAATATTGAGTTTCAGTCAAATCAGAAAGAATAAAGTTTCCAGCTGAGATAAGAGGTGAAGTCTAGAAGAAACCAGGATCTTAAATGAGGATGAAACTGAAAGCAAAAAGGCTAGAAACATAGTGGAAAAAAGTGGTTAAAGAATAATAATAGTGGCGTATAGTCGACCCCTGTATGTGACAGCCAGATGTTTTAAGTAAATCATCTCTGTTAACAACCTCACAAGTAGTTGCATTTATCTCCACAGATGAGCAAACTGAAATTCGGAAAGGCTGAATGATCTACCCAGTCACTCAGACAGAAAGCAGCACAGCCATAACTTAAACTGAAGTCTGACTCCAAAGAAAGTCAGTTCTTCAGCACAGCAAGCAATTTCTGGAACTCAAATTTCAGGGACATCAAAATTTTGTCAGAGGGCAGTTATCTTTCCCTTCATTTGTATAGGACAGAACAAAAGCCAGGTGTAGAAACAACTTGTGTCCTTGATAAGCAGTTTTCCCCATTACTCAAAGGAACAAAAAAGAGATTTAAGAAAAAAAAAAAAAAAAGGCAGGGAGGAAAGGAAGACAGTAGGAAGGGAACCCACAGAATGTACTTTCTTAGTGTGAAGTATCATTTGTCTGTCTACATCCTTTTTTCTCTCTTGTTCCTCCTAGCAGTAGGATACAACTCAGACACAATCACAGTCGAATGCTCTTTAAATTCAATGGAGAATAAATAAAAAACAAAACATATAAATTTAACTCCCAAATACCTACAGTGTGTTTTACATAAGTCCCTTTTAAATTCTAAGAATTCCTGACTTATTTCTGTTTCTGCAAAGCTACAGACTTACCATGAAACTTTGAGGCTTCTGGATCGTTCACATTGATAGCAATTAATTTCCAATCTGTTTCACCCTGATCGATAAGAGCCAAAATCCCAAGAATCTTCACACAAATAACCTCTCCACGAGAAAGAACCTTTAAAGAGAAAAGAAACTGAGCATTTGCAAAGCTTTAGAGGAGTTTACTCATATCTCATAAAAACTCATGAAAGATGAAAAGCACTATAAACTAAAATTTAATAAAGGTTTAATAACTTAAAATAATGTAAAAACAGTCATAAAGCCTTTTATAAAATGCCTCTTAAAATTAAGTATCTGGATTCCTTTTCAGAAATTGAAGTTATTTGTAGATCTTGAAATTGAATGTACTAAGCCCAGAAACTCAAACTAAGCAGAAAATAAACCCATGTGTATCATTGCACACTATAATCCTGACTTCTGCTACTTGGAGGTAAAGAGAGGCCTGAGAACCCTTTTAAATTGTGTCACAGCACCTTTTCTGCAAAGCACATTTTTCAGTTACTATTGAAAAGTGAATTTTTAACATGTTAGACTATAACCTTAAGACTATAATGGATGACAATGAAAGAACTATTAGTACTTTAAAGATACAGACGAAACAGTCTTAGTAGAGTGTTTTTAAAAGGTTTAAAGAGAAACCAAGAAATAGCATGATGTTTAAGCAGATGTTTCATGTGCTAAAAAAAAAATTTATTTCAGTGGTTCCGTTAAATTGTCTATGCCACGTTTATATGCATGCATTCTTCCTATATCCTTTTCTTTTTAAAGGTTTAGTCAGCCATAGAATTTCATTGAAAGCTGAAATTTGAACACGTTTCAGAATTCCTTCATGATTCAAAATGCAGCTTTACATTTGGAAAGCACCTTAAGGTATGCAAAAGAAGGTCACTTTTGTGTCTTGAAATTATTTGAGAGAAAAACACTAGACCTAAAACCATAAAGTCAAATAAATCCTTTTAGAACATTTGCAAAGTAAATCTAAATCTTAATATAAATCTGTATGAAGTTGTAATTAGTTTACATAACAGATTGGTGAGACTGCATAAACTGAACTGAAATCTCATTTTGGGGGGAATATTCACAAATATATTAACCAGACTCTTACATGTTTAGACTCCATTCAGTACCCAGCACCATATCAGATACTACATCTATACACAGAAAGAAAGGATCCCTGTTCTCAAAGGTTTTGATCTTGTTGAGAGACCTATGCACCTCACACCAGAAGACCTGTTCAAAATTATCATCTATAATAATAAAAGTGTAATATGCTAATTAGACTGGATGGCCAAACAGTGGATGACCTTCCGGACGACCTTCAGGACAAAGCCGGGGCTGCAAGGGCTGAGCCCCTTACACAAATTTCGTGCATCGGGCCTCTAGTATCACATAATCATCAATGAAAAGGCTGGCTACAGCCCTAACTGGTTTGGCTCAGTGGATGGAGCGTCGGCCTGCGACTGAAGGGTCCCAGGTTCGATTCCAGTCAGTGGCATGTACCTTGGTTGTGGGCACATCCCCAGTGGGGGGTGTGCAGGAGGCAGCTGATTGATGTTTCTCTCTCATCGATGTTTCTGACTCTCTATCCCTCTCCCTTCCTTGCTGTAAAAAATCAATAAAATATATTTTTTAAAAAAAGAAAAGGCTGGCTACATTGTTAAACGAAGTGACAAACTAGATAACTGGTTCTGAACCATGGGCAATTTTGCCCCCTAGAGGACATCTGGCAATGTCTGGAGATGTTTTTGGCTATCAACTGGGAAGGTATTACTAGCACCTAGTGGGAAGAGGCCAGGAATACTGCAGAACAGTCCCCTGTAATAGAATTATCCACCCAAAATGTCAACATTAAACCAGAAGTATAAATTCATTTGGACATTTATAATCAATACTACATTTCCACAAAAAATAACAAGTCAATGTTTTTCAGTAATGATGTATCAAACACCTATATATACTAAGCTTTCCAAGTAAAATGTAAAAGTATGCTTTCAAGATTAATTACATATGCCTTATTAAAAACCACTCATGTATATTTGAAACCTTTAATTTTATTCTGCATATTTAGTAACTTTGGCAGGTTTATTAAAAAAACCTCTACATCAAGTTTTCTTAAAGTGATTCCTTTGTTTTGTCAATAACAAATTACTGTTACTGAGTCAAATCATTTTCATATGAGTTCTCTCAGTTACTAATCTCAATAATCGCATGCTCATTTACACATTTTTACATAAAATTTAAAAATTTTAAGTGAAAATAAGGTACTTCTACTTCATCTTTAAACACCCACTTAATATCTGCATAAGAATTTAAATTAACATAATTTGCACTTGCTATGAATTGGATGGCCCCAGGGATTATGCCCTCAGAATAAGAGTTTTCTAATACATAAAACATTCCATCAATGTAATGTTATTTAATTTATTAACTCTCACTTATCAGGAAATAGGACATGTGAAAGTGACTAAAGTACATAGCATAGGGTCTGAAACATAAGAAGCACTCATTAAAATACATTCTTCCTTCCTTCAAATCTATTAATTTTAGACACACTTTATTACCCCTCTGGGGAGTAAATGTCTGAAAGATAAATTCCTAAAGTATAGCTTACTTTTTAAAGAAAGCTAACAATCTGCTTTAGTTCTGCTGGAGATACAGAAACCATAGACACACACACACACACACACACACACACACACACACACACACACACACAGGAACTCTAGCCCCTTTGTCCCTATCTGTACATAAAACCAGAAATACAGGTGGATGGAAATCTCTCCTGCAAGAAAGGAGTAAGACAGAGAGAGAAGAAAAAGGAGGGGGGCAGAGAGGATTGGAGAAGAGGAGAAAAAAAAAAGTGGAAGAACATAAGGAGAAGAAGCAAAAGAAGAAAGAGAAATCTGAGAGGATGATGAAGACGAGGAGGAAAAGAGAGGAGGAATACGAAAGGAGAATGAGGAAGAAGAAGAAAAAGAAAACGAGAGAAACAAAGTAATTATGGTAAATATAGTGAAAAAGAATCAGAGGAAACTGTTTCCTAAACAATAACCTAGAAGCCTAAAATTGCCAATAGGCGTTACCAGAGATAACTAATTTAACCTTAACTAGCAGAATAAGATTCAAGTAAAAGTTCAGTGTGGTATTTCTTAACTTACGCGTATGCTACCTGCCAAGTACTGTGCTGTACACTGCTATGCTGAGTCCCATCCTCACAGAGCTAGCTCTCACCTCATTGAGGAGGCAATTAAACAAACAAAAGACCACAGTTAGTACTAAGGGAGTACATAACAAACACCAAGTATTTTAGTTGGGGGGTGGAGGGCAATAAAGGAAGGCTTCTAAGAGGATGCATTTTTTTTTAAATATATTTTATTGATTTTTTTTATGCAGTGTGGAAGGAAGAGGGATAGAGAATTAGAAACCTTAAAGATAGAGAAACCTCAATCAGCTGCCTCCTGCACACCTCCTACTGGGGATGTGCCCACAACCAAGGTATATGCCCTTGACCAGAATCGAACCTGGGACCCTTCAGTCTGCAGGCTGATGCTCTATCCACTGAGCCAAATCAGTCAGGGCAGAGGATGCATATTTTAGCTGAGATCTGAAGGATGAGCAGGGGAGGTGAAAAGAAGAAAAGGTGTGGGGGGAGGGGGGAGTAACAAAGTGAAGAAGGACAGAGGTTCCATTCTATATAGAGGGAATAGTTTGTGCAAAGGCCTGGACATCAGGGAGAGCAGATGCACTACAGGAAGTGAAAGATGGGTGCAGCTGGAGGGTGGTCTGCAAACGGGAAGTGCCATGAGAGGAAGCCAGGTGCTAAAGAAGAGCAGAGCAGCAGGCGTCTGGAATAAATGATGGTAGGAAAAGAAGGCTCAGAGAGGAAACTGGTCACTAGCAGGAATAATTGAGAAAAAATAGGGGACTTGACAAAGCTAGCTGCAGTGAGAATAAAAAGTAGAGTTAAAGGCTATCTGGAATACAGAATTTATATTTCATGACTAACGGATGAAGGAAAGCAAAGAATGAGCAAGGATGACTCCTCAATTTGGGGGACTAAAAATACTGAGAGGAGTTAAGGGAGAGGAGGGAAGAATGAACTGTTTGGACACAGTGAGTCTGAGATGTGTGGGAGACATCCCAAGGGCAGAAGCAGGCAGCTGACTATACAGGTCTGAGCTGGAGATACTAATTTGAGAGCAAAACTAGGAGTGCTTGGGATGGGACCGCCAAGGGAGTTCCTAGCTGGGACAGGGACTCAACCCTCAAGCTAACCAATCCTTAAGGAACAGGCAGAAGAAAAGGAGCTTGCAAAAGAAACCAATAAGGAACCAAAACTAGAGACTATCCAAGCGATTATGACACAATCAAAGTAAAGTGAAGAGACTGTCTCAGGAAGAAAGACAAGGTTAACAGTAACAAGTTAGACGTGTGGACGAAAAAGGGGCCACACATTAAAACTGACAAGCTCAGGGGAGGCCCGCATGGCAGGCCTGACAAACTCGGAGACCTAAAGTGACACCACAGGATGGTCTGAAATAAAAGCTTCCTAAGCAAAATCAAGTCTTGGTGAGTAGTCTCTTGTACTAGGCTGGTATCTTCCTTGACAAAGGTCAATCTTTACCTTAAATGAGCCCGTCTATTGTCTTTTAACATCTGCCATAGCAAACCTTTGGAATGTCAGAGTAATTTCTTTTTTTTCCAGACCCTTCAGGGCACAATCACTGAACCAAAGCAGAGACCACAGAACTTCTCATTGTTATTGTTATCTTGTTAATTGTTGACTATTAACTATCCTATACCCACCAATAGAAAGGAAGTGTGTGTCTATCCCTTTTACTTTTTATCCAATCCCGGAGATCCACCCCAGCCCCTAGCTTTGCTTTCTCCTGCCTCCCTAATCTATCTATCATCAATGAATTTCATGTAACTCCTTCACATCTCTTTTAATTGTAATGTATAAAACAGGTTTACAACTGCCATTCTCTGGAGCATTTTCTCAATCCATTGTCATCAGTTTGGCTCAAATAAACTCAAAATTCGTATAAGTTTGGACATTTCTTACGTCAACATGAAATAAGCCTCTTGGATTGGCTAAAAGAATTACCAGGGACCTTCGTGAGAGCAGTTTCACTGAAATAATGGCAGGATGAAAACAATTCTGAAATAGCTTGAAGATTAAGTGTGAAACTCTTTACAAGCCTTCATGCGAAAGGAAAGAAGATAGGAGACATATTGAAGGAAGACAATAAAGAAAGATAAGTTATAAATACAGGACAAAATAACGATAGAAAAATACTGTCACTCAGAGGCAAGAAGGGAAGCACTGGACTTGGACAAGAAAAGGCAACTCTCCCAGTCCCAGACAAAAGGGAGAAACAATGTTTGCAGGCACAGGTAGTATGGCAGGCTAGTGGGGAAAGGTGAGGGAATTCTCATTGTTGGTTTCTCTGAGCTCGACAAGATGAAAGACAAGACACTGTGCTGGGAATGAGAACAAAGTGCAAGGAGTTGAATGTCTATATAAATAACAATTATTAGCAATAAGTGCAGTAGAAAATAGAAAAAAGATCTGACCGAGGACTCACAGAATTCTATGGGTAGCAGCAACCTTGACACTGTAGGTCTTGCTTCCCTAGGACTTGGCAACCTGGAAGCAGGCACACACACAAAGAGAGCCCGTGGCTTTCCTCGGTTTTGAATTTCCTGTCTGGATAATGGGCAAGGAAGCCGAGGACAGGACTTAGCAAAATGTTTCTGTAAAAGCTCAGGCAGTAAATACTTTAGACTTTGCAGGTTATGTGGTCTCTGCTACCATTCCTCAGACAATGCGTAAATGAGGGGGTGTAGTTGTGTAATTTATAAAAACAGGTGGTGAGCTAGATTTGACCCGCCACTGGGCTATAGTGTACCAATCCCCAGTTTAAGAGAAGGAAGTAAAGATACAAAAAGGTACTGATACCAGAGCGATCGAGGGCTAGAACTTTGAAGAACTGAAGAACTGGTGGCTTCCAAAGAGAACTGAAATTTTATGGCATGAATAAACCAGACCCCATTAGAATAACAGTCTATACAACCAACCTTTGAGCCTATTTCACAGACATCAATAGGATCATTATCTCCACAGCAGTCTGTGCTCTTATCGTTTCTGTGGGGATCTTCCCAAGTCTAAAAGAAGGGGGCGGGGGGGGGGGGAGAGAAGCAGAAAAATAGGTTAATACTCATTATAATGTACTTTAACCTTTCCACACAGTCATGACGTCTTATAGACAGCCACAGTCCAAAGGAAAATTCTCAGAAATTACACAGGCTCGATGCCAACATGCCAGTACATCCTCAAGCACAATAATACTTAAAGCCTATTTATAGTATTTCCTCCCCCCGGTCTTTCATTTGTTTGTATAATCACATCTGAAAGTGGGTGGTATTTCCAAATATAACCTTCTTCCAAGTTCTGTCAGTGTCTGAATCCATGTTCGCGTTTAGAGTTTCAGCGCGGGTGTTCCCACTGACTGCCCGAACCGCTGCTGCCATCGCTCACTGCTCCTCTGACAAGGAGCCAGCACTGGGCCTGCCTTTCTGTGTTTGAAAACCATCTATGAATATTAGCCAATACAATCACCGTGCTCTGGTCCTTAGGTCTCTTTAAAACATCACTGCCCTGTACAGAGCTGTACATGTAGGTGCTTCTTGAAAACTCCTTCCTGATTAAGCAGGATTCTTGTCACCAAGTCAAAGGAAGCAGGGCCTCAGCAGGGACCTGTTCTTTACCAGCTTCAACTGGGAGCCAGAGCCTCTGCCAGCAGTGTCACTATTAGCAGCTAACATCAGCAGGCAACAGTGTCATCATCGAGACAACATGACTGAGAACTCACTATCGAGCTAAGCACTTGGCTTTGACCAACTTATTCAAAATTCTCAATCACCTTGTGGGGTAGGTGGTAGGATGACAGAGGTGAACAAATAGACCTAGAGCAATGTGGTCGCTGGTCCCAGGTTACAAAGCTACTAAGTGGTACTACATGACACCTGGGGTCAAGGAACCAAATTTATAATAAAGGTCAAAATAATAAACACAACAATCATATATTAAGATGGAAGAAATCTTGAATTTAGTGATTCTAGTCCTTGAACATCATCCAGATGGGTCCTCTAAGTATTCATTCAGAAAGATCGGGGGAAGACAAAGATGACTTTTGTCCAGGCCAAACTCAGGTCTGAGGAAGGCACTATTGCTAGTGTGGAAGAAGGTACTAGGTGAAATAGCTAGACAGCTGACGGTCTGAAATAATGATGGCACTCTGATGAATCACAGGCTAAGTGGAGAGACTGCTACTTACACAGTGTTCTGCTGCTTAAATGTTCTTGCAAGCACGGTTGGCTTGGTAACTGCTTGAACAAAATCATGCTGTTACAAGACAAATCCTAAGAGAATAGCAAAAACTCACACACATCTATGAAACAAATGCAGCTGACACAATGCATTAATTTATTCATTCCACAAATATTTATTGATTACCTACTCTACTCCAAGCACTAAGCTGGGCAGTTGGGAGACATCAGTGAAAAAAACAGATAGAATCCTTCATGAAGTCTGCATTCTAGCTGGAAGAATTAAAAATAAACACAAATAACTAAATTACATAGCATAGACGTTGGTAGGTGTTATGAAAAAGGGAAAGAAAGTATGGAAGATGGAATGAGAGTACAGGAGGCAGAGTTAAAGCTGTAAAGGATGTGCAGGGCAGACATCAGGAAGAAGATGACTCCTGAGCAATCATGTCAGGGGCAGGCCAGGTGCACATCTAGGAAAGAGTGAATGTGCAGGCCTGAGGCAGGAGCATGCCTGATGTACCAGAGGACTGTGAGATGGTCACTGTGGCACTGATGGAGCAGGAGAAGGATGAGGGGAAGTTGGAGATGAGACCAAAAATGCAAATGGAGTCCTGGCCAGTGTGGCTTAGTTGACTAAACATCATTCCATGCACTGAAAGGTTACCGGTTTAATTCCCAATCAGGGCACATGCCCAGGTTGCAGGTTCAATCCCCAGTTAGGGTATGTACAGGAGGCAACCAATCGATGTTTCTCTCACATTGATGTTTCTCTCTCTCTCTACTATCAATAAAAACATATTTAGAAAAAAATGTAAATGGGACCAGGAGCTGGCTTCCATATTAACAGGCTCATTCTGTCTTAATATGTACAAGGAAGCTATTTATCCTTTCCCATAAACAACTGACCTAATTTCTACTTTTTATAAACATTAATTTATTTTGGGGGGGTTGTTTTTGGTAAATAACTTCTATGCAATCTGTAGTATATTCTTTTGCTGAAGACTAACACACACACACACACACACACACACACACACACACGCACACTACAAGATCAGTTTGAGTTTAAAAAGATAGCAAAAATCTCTGGTTAAAAATGGCAGTTTGTTTTAGGTTTGTTTGTTCATTTACTTGTTTACTAGAGGCCCGATGCATGAAATTCGTGCGGGGGGTGGGGGGGTGGGGGGAGACAGCCCATAGCCGGGCCTGCAATGATGCGAGCATCCCTCACCAGGGACTCTGGCCCGAGGCCCCTCCCCTCCCTTCCTTCGGCGTGGACGCTGCCTTGCGTCACAGTGAGCACAACGTTCTCGTCGTGGACTCTGGCCCAAAGCCCCTGCCCTCCCTTTCCTCCGCCCGGCCAGAGTGCAAGCACTGGGCTCCAGTCGCTATAAGCCCAGCGTTCCTTGCTGCAGACTCCAGCCCAAGGCCCCTCCCCTTCCCTCCCTCCACCAGCTGGGGCGCAGACGCTGGGCATCCCTGGAGGCGGACTCTGTGAGCCCAGAGAGCTTTCCTCACAGCAGATTCCAGCCTGAGGCCCCTCCTCTCCCCTCCCTCCACTCAGCTGGGGGCACGGACCCTGAACATCCCTGGAGGCAAACTCCATGAGCCCAGCTTTCTTCCCTGCGGACTCCAGCCCAAGACCCCTGCCCTCCCTTTCCTCCGCCTGGCTGGTGAACAGATGTTGGTTGCTGCAAGCCCAGAGTTCCTCACTGCGGACTCCAGCCCGAGGCCCCTCCTTTCCCCTCCCTCCACCTGGCCAGGGTGCGGACTCTGGCCCGAGGCCCTTCCCCTCCCCTCCTTCGGCCGGACACTAGGCTCACATCACTGCAAGCCCAGGGTCCCTTGCTGAGGACTCCGGCCGGAGGCCCCTCCTCTTCCCTCCCTCCACACAGCCAAGCCAGATGCTGAGCTCACGTTGCCCTGCTTCTGGGTCTCCCGGGGCCAGGCTGCCTCGGCGCCCGGGGCCAGATCGGGTCCGGGGCAGTGAGGCAGCCTGGCTTCTGGGTCTTCCAGGGCTGGCTTGCCCTGGATGGTGGCGCAGGCTGTCCCGTCCTGCCTGTAGTATGCAAATTAGCCGCCATCTTTGTTGGTGGCTAATTTGCATATTGTGCTGATTAGCCAATGGGAGGCGTAGCGAAGGTATGGTCAATTACCATCTTTGTCTATTATTAGATAGGATTTCTTGTATTGTAATTCACATGAGTGAAATCATAGTTTTTATCCTTTTCTTTCTGAGGTATTTCACTTAGCATAGTACCTTCAAGATATTGTTGCAAATTGCCACATTTCATTTTTTTATGACTAAGTATTTTTCAATTGTGTGTGTGTATATACACACACACACACACACACACACACACATGCACATATATATATACCACTTTTTAATACATTCATACCTCAATGGACACTTAGATTGCTTCCATATCTTGGCTACCGTAAATAATGCTGCAACAAACATAGGAGTGCATGTATCTCTTCAAATTAGTATTTTCATATTCTTGGGATAATTACCCAGAAGAAGACTGACTGGATCATAGAGTAGTTCTAGTCTCAATTTTTCTGAGGAACCTCCATAGTGATTTCCATAGTGGCTGCACCGACAGTGTACAAGAGTTCCCTTTTCTCCACACCCTCCCTCTCCAGCACTTGTTATCAGTCCTTTTTTGATTATAGCCATTCTAACAGGTGTGAGGTGGTATCTCCTTGTAGTTACCAGATGGGAAGAGGGGTGGAGGGAGGGTGAAATGGTTATAGGGGGTCAAATGTATAGTAACAAATAGAAACTAGACTTTTGGCCACACAATAGTGCATACAAATATCAAATTTTAAAGTTGTACACCTAAACTTTTATAATGTTATTAACCAATCCTACCTGAATATAAAATAAAAGCACCAGTAATTTTAAAAAAAAGGGCAGAGAGAATACAGGTCTATTTCCTTTTGCTCACTTCCATCCTAGCCACAGTGGCCTCCTTTCTGTTTCTCTAACAAATTAGGCCTACTTCCCCCTGGGCCTTTATACTTGCATTTCTTGCTGAATTTTCTAGAGTCCAGTGGCCGGCAAACTGCGGCTCGGCAAACCACGGCTCACGAACCACATGCGGCTCTTTGGCCCCTTTAGTGTGGCTCTTTCACAAAATACCGACTTCTGTGCATGGGCCACGAAGTTTCAATCGCACTGTATGTGCGTGTGTGCGCCCGCACGTGGTATTTTGTGGAAGAGCCACACTGAAGGGGTCAAAGAGCCACATGTGGCCTGCAAGCCGCAGTTTACCGACCACAGCTCTAGACAGCCTTACTACCTGTTCCCTCACCTCCCTTAGGTCCTCACTCAAACAACACCTTCTCACTGAGCCTTCTCCCTGCCTAAACTGCAACAATCCCAACACACCCTAGCCCCATTTCCTACTTTTATTTTTCTCCAACACACCACCATCTGATGTATTATATATTTTAATATTAGTTTTTTTGTCTGTCTCTGCCCAGGATAAAAGCCTCAGAGAATTTGTGTCATTTTTATCACTACTTTACCTCTAATACTTAGAACATGGCCTGGCAAACATCAGGCACTAAAAACTATGTCCTGAATGAAGGAGAAGTTCTGTGAAGGCCTGCTGTGGAAATGGCAAGAGAAATGAGGAACACTGAAGAAGATGGCAAAGGACTGGAAGTGAGGAAGGACAAGTGTTGCAAAATGAGGCTGGAGAAGCAGGGGCCAAATTATGCAGGGTTGGGGGGCCATGTTAAGAATGTTCTTGTATATCCTTTGAACAATAGGAAACCATTAAAAGGTTCTCATATAAATAAAACATTAGCAAATTTATGTTTTAAAAATGCTATATTTGGATGCTGGTGGAGTGTGAAATGTTGGTAGGCAACGGTGAAGGCAGGGGCATTCAGAGACTGCTGCAGCCCAATTCTGTTGTACATAAATAGGAATCACTGTACCTAACAGACTAATATAAAGCAAATAAGAGCATCTCGAGACTTCAAACACATGCAGAGAAGCACAAAAATTCATCAGGCCTTAGGTAAACTACAAAAGCTTAGAAATAATTTGTAGCACCTACTATGCTCCACTGTAACTACTGGTTTAGCTGTCAATCACCCCCATGAGACTATAAATCCCTTTAGAAGAAAGACCATATAATAATAAAGATAACAGTAGTAATAATAATGTGATTACTACCCATTAGGCACTATTCTAAGATGAATCTGCAATAACTCATTAAACCCCAACACAACCACTTGCAGTACTTTATCATCTCTAATTTATAGATGAAGAAAGTGAGCAAAGAAAGACAATACTTGCCTAAGGCTACATTACTAATAAATGGCAATCTGACCCCAAAACCCATATTCTTTGGTCACTTATTATGCAGAAAGTATGCCCTAAGCTTAACAATTATTTTATTTATTTATTTATTTTTTATCTTTTCACCAGGTCAAACAAAATGTCTATTTAGGCACCTGGTGTGCACAAAAGCTATCTTCATGGTTTCAACAGACATTCTCATTCTGAGCAGGTCGTTTTAAAAGTGCCTATTTAACAAAGAACCTTTCCACGTGGGTGGTCTAACTGCATCAAAGGCAGCCTGACTCCTTAGAAAACTATTTTCTCTTTTCTTTTCCTGTGAATGTTTATTCTATACAGGCAGCTGTGTTTCTGAGTTGGATAAAGTAAGACTCCTTTCCTCAGAAACTTCCCCAAAAGCATTTTGGAACTTCATGCAAAATATTAAAATTAATTAAAAAAATGAAAATACAAAATGAACATCCAGATAGATGAATGGTCTAATGGCTTTTATAAACATAAAGGCAGATGCCTCTCTATGTCACCAAAACTCAGCCTTTTGATTTTGCATATTCTGAATTTTATTCACCAAATCATCTAGAAAAGTCACCACTTCCTAGAAGTGAGAAACAGAAGAAGAAAACAAAAAGAATAAGAAAGAATGAAAAACAAAGTGTCATTCTCTAACAGGAATGCTATTTTACCATTTTTTAGCCCTTGCTTTTACCGGTTTCCACTGAACAGTTAGAAATTCATAATAATGAATAATTAAGTCATCTAACTCAATTCACCATAAGTTCGGAAAAAAGTTAATTCCTTAAAAATTCATCTGTTGCCGAAACTGGTTTGGCTCAGTGGATAGAGCGTCGGCCTGCGGACTGAAAGGTCCCAGGTTCGATTCCGGTCAAGGGCATGTACCTGGGTTGCGGGCATATCCCCAGTGGGAGATGTGCAGGAGGCAGCTGATTGATGTTTCTCTCTCATCGATGTTTCTAACTCTCTATCTCTCTCCCTTCCTCTCTGTAAAAAATCAATAAAATATATTAAAAAAAAAAAAAAAATTCATCTGTTAAAGTTTAAAAAATGAAATTCATGCTACCATGTGAATATATAAATGCATTGTTTGTCATATTCAAAAAAATGACGACAGATAAAGCAGAAAAACATTTTTCACTGAATCTTAATAGCCAAGCCCAGAAAAAAAAAGTGTTCAAAATGCCAAATGTGAGTGTTTTATAAGCCTAACTCCAAGAGCTACAGTACAGACTAAAGTTTGAAAAAAATTTATTGATACAATAAAACTCAACATTAAAAAATTTTAAATTTACAAATCTCTCAAACTGACATGTCCTCAGAATCAATTTAAATTCAAGTAGTTCACAGGATTTACAAGGTAATTTTTTCAGAAGACAGAAAAGTTTTACCATTATAACAAAAATGTTACCTGAGGGAGGGCACCATAATTCCATATATAACCCTTATGAGGAAAAATATTCGCCACATAACGTAGCTTGCCATCCTTTACGTCTTGTTTAATGGGATTCAATGGCTCCTGTGTGGCAATCTAAGCAGATCATGAACAAAAGGGGGTAGGAGGATGAGAAATGATTAGTCCTATCTTTAAATAGTATTTTTAAGATCTGCTATAAGACTAAATACTCATATTCCAATTTACTGATCAAAGATACTTTAAAATAAATTAAGCTAGCTCTTATTTCTAATTTAGAGTACTGTGTAAGAAAAACCATCTGGAAAGGAAATAGCAGATTATATACTTAGGCACTCTATTATTTAGGCACTCATTATATCTAACACAAATGATTGAAATAGTAAGAGGATAAAAATTAATCAACTTGCTTTTTGTTACTGATCTCAAGCTCATTACCATCAATCTTTTTTTTTTTTTTTTTCTTTTCTTTTTTTTAATTAAATCTTTATTGTTCAGATTATTACATTTGTTCCTCTTTTTTTTCCCCCCCATAACTCCCCTCCTCCCAGTTCCCGCCCCACCCTCCGCCCTCACTCCCCACCCACTGTCCTCATCCATAGGTGCACGATTTTTGTCCAGTCTCTTCCCGCATCTCCCACACCCCTTTCCCCCCCAGGAATAGTCAGTCCATTCCCTTTCTATGTCCCTGATTCTATTATAATCTACAGTTCATTCTGTTCATCAGATTATTTATTCACTTGATTCTTAGATTCACTTGTTGATAGATGCATATTTGTTGTTCATAATTTGTATCTTTACCTTTTTCTTCCTCTTCCCCTTCTTAAAGGATACCTTTCAGCATTTCATATAATCCTGGTTTGGTGGTGATGAACTCCTTTAGCTTTTCCTTATCTGTGAAGCTCTTGATCTGACCTTCTGTTCTGAATGATAGCTTTGCTGGATAAAGTAATCTTGGTTGTAGGTTCTTGGTATTCATCACTTTGAATATTTCTTGCCACTCCCTTCTGGCCTGCAAAGTTTCTGTTGAGAAATCAGCTGACAGTCGTATGGGTATTCCCTTGTAGGTAACTGAGTTTCTTTCTCTTGCTGTTTTTAAGATTCTCTCTTTATCTTTTGCTCTTGGCATTTTAATTATGATGTGTCTTAGTGTGGTCCTCTTTGGATTCCTTTTGTTTGGGGTTCTCCGCGCTTCTTGGACCTGTAAGTCCATTTCTTTCACCAGGTGGGGGAAGTTTTCTGTCATTATTTCTTCAAATAGGTTTTCAATATCTTGCTCTCTCTCATCTTCTGGCACCCCTATAATTCTGATGTTGGTACGCTTGAAGCTGTCCCAGAGGCTCCTTACACTATCCTCGCATTTTTGGATTCTTTTTTCATTTTGCTTTTCCGGTTGGGTGTTTTTTGCTTCCTCGCATTTCAAATCATTGACTTGATTCTTGCGCTCCTCTGGTCTGCTGTCGGGAGTCTGTATAATATTCGTTATTTCAGTCCGTGTATGCTTAATTTCTAGTTGGTTCCCCAATATAAGATCGAGGGTCTTATTAGTTTTCTTGTAGATCTCATTAAGTTTATCGGCGGCTTCTAAACAGTTCTTGAGAGACCTTAAAAGTGTGGTTCTGAACTCTATATCTTCCATTGACAATTTTGTCCTGTTTCTTTGTCTCCGCATTTTGTTATGCTTCCTTGGTGCACCCCCTAGTGGTCTTTGTTCTCAGTCTTATAGTTAAATCTTGATTGTTGTAGCTAATTCCAGGGAGGGTTTGACCTCCAGGCCAAGTGGCTATGAGAATCAGCTGTGTCAGCAGTGAGAGAACTTCTGTCCTCTAGGGAGGTGCTAATCTGGCGTTTGCCTGAGGCTATCCGGCAAATGCCTGTGTGCAGGGCTTGGGCGGGGCGGGTCGCACAGGATCAACAGGGTGGGCCAAAGAGAGCAGTTATGGCGGCTCTCAGTCCTGTCCCCAGGGGCTCTGCCTCTCTGAGTCCCAGCACCCGCTGCAAAGCTCAGAGAGAAAGCTGCACTCGCTCTGACCGAAGCCAGACAGTCCCGCTTCTCCCGTTTGAGTCTGGGACCCTAAAGACTCGCCCGGATCTGGAGCTCAGAGTCTGCGACTCCCTCCCGATTGAAAACGCCAACCGCGCCCTCCGCCGCCAGCCCGCTCTGCGCACTCCACACCTCAGAATTTGACTTCAGCACTGCGCCTCCTCTGAGTGTCCGTATGCGTTTCTCTTTCCTCCTAGTTGTAGGACTTCCACTCAGCCAGCGTTCCTGTGGTTCTGGGTGATGTCCCTTCCGTTTTTTGGTTTCACTTTTGAAGTAGTTGTTCAAAGCAGCAAACTCCGGCGTTAACCTATGCCGCCATCTTGGTTCTCTCTCAATCTTATAATAAAGTTAACTCACAGGTTTTCATGAAGTGATTTCATTTCCAAGTTACCTTTCTATCAACACATATCCAAATTGCCACGCAACACACACACACACACACACACACACACACACACACACACACTCACAAAAACCTATCTTATAAAGTAAACAATAATAACTGAAGCCATGTTTGAATAAATAAACACTGCTTAAATTAGGTAGAATCTCACAGAGTCTTGATCCTATATCCTCAAGTAGAGAGTAGCCAGAATGATGAAACAGTATAGTTGAAACAAGACCAACCTTTTTCTATTAAAATACTAGAGGCCTGGTGCATGAAAATTCATGCACTCAGGGTGGTGGGAGGGGCGGGGTCCCTCAGCCCGGCCTGCACCCTCTCACAGTCCAGGAGCCCTCAGGGGATGTCTGACTGACAGCTTAGGCCTGCACCCCACAGGGAGCAGACCTAAGCTGGCAGTCAGACATCCTTAGCACTGCTGTGGAGGCCAGAGAGGCTCCCACCACCACTGCTGCTCTTGCTAGCCATAAGCCTGGCTTCTAGCTGAGTGGCACTCCCCCTGTGGGAGCACACTGACCACCAGGGGGCAGCTCTTGCGTTGAGTGTCTTCCCCCTGGTGGTCAGTGCACGTCATAGCAACTGGTTGTTCCACCATTTGGTTGACTTGCATATTAGCCTTATATTATATAGGATTAGCTAAGCCCTGACCAGCATGGTTCAGTGATTAGAGTGTCAGCCCTTGCACCTCAGTCAAGGGCACATACCTGTGTTCCAGGTTTGATACCCAGCCCCGGTCAGGGTTTGTGCATGAGGCAACCCATCGATGTGTCTCTCTCACATTGATGTTTTGCTCTCTCTCCCTCCCTCCTTCCCTTCCATTCTCTAAAAACCAATGGAAAAAATATCCTCAGGTGAGGATTGACAACAAAATATTAGCAAAAAAAAAAAAAATACTACCAGGACCTAGTAAAATTACTGACAATTCTCCAAATAAAAATTCTGAAAATTATACATGTGCATAACAATCCTTAATTTAAATACTTGAAATCATACCTGCCATCAAATCCAAAGTCGCAGAAGAAGGCTTAAATAACTAACCATTTGAAAGTAATAGACTATATCCATACCTCCATTTTAGCATTTGTCCACCGAGGTACTTCAACAACCATATTAAACAAATTCTGCAGTTAAAAAAAAAAAAAGAAAATTTAGTTTTTTAACCTATCCTTTATTTTTTCACTTATCTCCTGTAGGAGAATGTTTTAGTTCCCCCCCACCCCCTACCCCCCCCCACACACACACAAATGTTTAGAGTCTGCATCATGTCTGCCTACGTCTTAAATTTCCTCTAAACAATTAGAGAAGTTGTCTAAAACACAGCAGAATTTAAGCCATCATGTCACTTGACTACTATTACACAATTTAGGAGTTGCTACATTTCTGCCGGGAGCCGGTCCATCCTTCCTGTTTCAAGGGACCTGGCATATATGGCATACTGTTCTTAATATGTTTGCTCACCTTCTTGGCACTATGTGTTTTAACCAAGGTCACCTCTTTGAGAAAGGTTGTTTCCCCAGGTAGGGATTTTCCCCTGAAGTTAGGGAGGAAATAAAACCCCTTAACTAAGTGCCAGGCGGGTAATTAATCACTTTAACTAAGAACAATCATGCTTAAGCTACATAATCTTTACTCCCTGGAATGGAGATAAGAAACGCCCTAACCTTTGGAATAGAGATTGATAGGATTGGAATCAACTGGTATAAATACAGATGTAACAAGACAACAGGGACAGAAACTAGACACAGAACCTACACAGAACCTAGAGACAGAAGAACTTCGCTGGAGAGAACATGGCAAAAGATCCTGGACAGAAACTGGAGACAGAACCTAGAGACAGAACCTAGCGAGAGAACCTGGCTGAAGAACCTAGAGACAGAATCTGGCTACAGAACCTGGATAGAACATGGCAAGAGAACCTGACTAGAACCTGGTGACTGAACCTGGCTGGAGAACCTGGACAGAACCTGGCTGGAGAACCTAGCGAGGAAACATGGCTACAGAACCTGGCTGGAGAACCTGGAGAACCTGGCTGGAGAACCTAGCAAGAGAACATGGACACAGAACCTGGCTGGAGATCCTAACCAGAACTTCGCTGGAGATCCTGACCAGAACTTGGCTAGAGATCCTGGCTAGGCAGCTGATCAACTGAACGCTGTTTCCATGCCATTCCTTCTTCGCCGACTCCGTCCACACCTTTGGGGTCCCCTGGACCTGCTGGGGCTGGACCCTAGCACATTTCTGAAGATACCTTAGCAGTATAGTGACAGAACCATAATGAAGTCAGGAAACTTATTTTAATTTTTATTTTCAAACTAAAATAGAGACGAGGTCCACCATGTAAGCTGAATGTCTCACTTTTCCAATCTGTAAAGTACGTGTGATAATCATTGTCCTACTCACTACACAAGGTTGGTATGAAGATCAATCATATAATTTAAATGAAAATACACAGAAAATTATAAAGTAAAATATTTTGAAAATTATAAAACAATATTTAAACTCAAATTATGATCATTGTGTAAAATTAAGGACATCGGCAGGTAGTTATAAAGCTTACAAAGAGAAACACTTTTCTGTCTCATGATCTTTGGTTTCCTAAACTTACAAAAGGACCATTATTTCTTACCATTTTTGAACTTTGCAGAGTGCTTAAAACAAAGGAGACCCTGGGTCAATGGTGAGTAAAAACTATTTCCTACAGTAACTAGGAACATAAGGGTATAATTGTCCACAGTTTTAGAGTTACAAAGAGGAAGTCTTAAGGTTCATGCCATTTTGATATCAATACTAATAACTTATCCCAGCAAAGCAATGGTTTAAATCAGTGCTACCCCAAGTGTGGTCATGGACCAGGACTAATCTGCAAGCTGATTGTTATTAATTCATTTAGAATCATTTATAGCAATTTTTATGTCTACTGAACCTAAAAAATATCAATTTGAAACCTGAATTATACTTTCCTAATAATTCACTTTGATGGCATTTTTTAATGTATCCTATATAATAAAAGGATAATATGCAAATTCACCCTACACACACTGACCACCAGGGGACAGACGCTCAATGCAGCGGGCTGATGGCTGCGAGCACAGTGGCGGTGGCAGAAGCCTCTCCCGCCTCTACAGCAGCAGGTGGACATCCCCTGAGGGGTCCTGGACTGCGAGAAAGTGCAGACCAAGCTGAGGGACCCCTCCCCAAGTGCACAAATTTAAATGCACCGGGCCTCTAGTCAGTTAATAACAGACCAGAAATAACAACAACAAAAATCTAGTCATTCAACAGATCATTTAAGAAACAGTGATTAAACAGATCTATTCCCAATCATGCCAAACAGGAAAATCATCTGGAGAACTTTAGCCAATTAGAAAAGAGCCCCTCCTCTCAATTATCTTTTTTTTCTTTTTTTGAGAGGAGGCAGGGGGAACGGCCAGGGTACTGCCTATTTTTTAAAGCTGTCCAAGCAATTTTAATATGCAGCAGAGTTGAGAACCTCTGGTTTAAAGAGCTGATAAACAATATCTGGGGCTTTCTTAGTGAAACATAAATGGTATTAATTCAAACAATGTCATTTACACAATTAAATATAGGTATAAATTGAACCACAAAGTACTGATGGCTTTTATGTTTTTCTAGATAAGGCTAAAGTTTACCAATGACAAAGCCATGTACTCTTAGTGAGCTAAAGAATAAAGCCGAGAATGAATTCTCAACAACTGCTCCTTGGGAGCATGTCTCAGACCTATCCTAGCAACCTGGTACACAGTCCCAGTGTTAGGTTTTATTTCGCATGCTCTTTCATGAGGTACCCAGCACCTGTTTAAATATGTCTGAAGTAGCTGTAAAAAATAAATGGCAGATGTTCACATAATTTATTCATCCCTGAAAGCCTGGCTCTAAGAGAACAGGCGCATGCAGATGCGTACTCAGAGGTGGCAGAGAAGACTGAGCTGGTGACAATTGTTTTACACAATGATATCTACCAAAACCACTCACAGAGACTTGAATTAGGCTAAACAAACAATAGATGAGGTTTGAATTTTCAGCCTGCAAACCACACTCCCCTCACCATTTGTTCCTGTTCACTAAGAGCGTATTACCAGTCCTCTTTTCTTCTCTCCAGCTAAAATGTGTATGACCTATAATTTTTTAAAGCCCATGTTACTCTGGTTATCCTAACAATAGTGTTAATTATAAAGCCACAATGGTCTGCTGAAATTTATCAGACAACCACAACGATACAGGAGGGCACATTTTAAATCAGAAAGTTGAGTATGAACCAGAGACATTTACCTTCCCCTCAGTTCTTTTCTAACTCTCCATTTCCCTCCTATGTTAATTGTAGAAATCAGAAAGAAAACTAATAACATGAAAAAGCAGTCAGTAAATTTTATATGTATAAGGGAAGAAATCACCCTTTTTCCTTTTACTAACTTAAAATATCAAATAGTCTTTGGATTTCACACTAAAAACAAAGGCAACAAAAGCAAAAATAAACAATGAGACTACATCAAACTAGAAAATTTCCGCATAGCTGCCCTGGCCCCGTGGTCAGTTGGTTGGAACATCATCCCTTACACCAAAAAGGTTTTGGGTTCGATACCTAGTTGGAGAATATACCTAGGTTGCAGGTTCGGGGGCAACTGATAAATCTCAATCAATCTATCAATCTCTCTCTCTCTCTCTCTCTCCCCCCTTCCTTTTTTTCTAAAAGCTATAAAAACATAACCTTGAGTGTGAGGATTAAAAGAACAAACAAAAATTTCTGTATAGCAAAAGAAACCATCAACAAAATAAAATAAGAAATAAAAACCTAGGGAATGGGCAAAGATATTTGCAAGTCATAAATCTGAAAAGGGGCTAATAACCAAAATACATAAACTCATACAATAGCAAAAAAGCAAAAAAGCAAAAAAAAAAAGCAGCAGCTAAAAATCCCGATTAAAAATGGCCAGAAGAACTGAACAATAGACAGTTTTCTAAAGTAGACATACAGATAGATGGCCAGCAGGTACATGAAAAGGTGTTCTACATCTCTAGTCATCACAGAAATGCAAATCAAAACCACAATGAGATATCACTTTGCTCCTTTTAGAATGGCCATTATAAAAAAGACAAGAAATATCAAGTACTGGTGAGGATGTAGAGAAAAGGGAACCCTTATGCACTGTTGATGGGAATGTAAATTGGTATAGCTGCTATGGAAAACAGTATGGAGGTGCCTCAAAAAATTAAGAACAGAACTACATTATCCAGCAATTCCACCTCTGGGTATATATACAAAGGGGGAAAAAACAACAGGATATTAAAGAGCTGTCTGCATTCCCATGCTCACTGCAGCATTATTCACAATAGGCAAGACACAGAAACAATGTTAAGTGTACACCAATAGATGAATGGATAAAGAAGATATGGTACATATGCACAATGGAATACTACTCAACCAGGAGAAAGGAATCCTGCCATTTACCATATCATGGATGGACCTTCAGGGCATTAAGTTTCTGGATAAGCCAGAGAAAGGCAAATTCTGCATGGCATCACTTACGTGTGGAATCTTCAAAAGGGTCAAGCTCATAGAAACAGAGCATAGAAAAGTGGTTGCCAGGGGTGGTGGATGAGGGAAATGGAAGAGAATTTTTAAAAATAAAAAGTTCAAGTCATGCAGTCTCTGATAGAAACCATGTTCTAAATATGAAATTTTAAGTCAGCTGTATGAACTCAAAAGAATTCATTTTTTTCCACTGAAACAACTGTTTCCAGGTTAACACACCTAAAGTCTCTAGGAACCTATAAAGTCTGAGGCCCTTAATGACTTTTTACCCAGCATGTAGGGCAGTGGTTCCCAAACTTCAGGGTGTACAGGATACCCTGGAACACTAGTTTAAACATGCAGACTAACCAGTTCCCATCAAGCAGAGATTCTGATGGGAATGGGACCAGGAATCTAAAATTTTAAGAAGTGCCCTACATGGTTCCATTGTAGATGGCTTAAGGACCATTTACCATTTTCCAGGTTAGGAAAGTACAAGATTGATGACAGACAAAGGTGTACAAATTAAACAGCCCTCATAGCTATGTTTGGAAGCAGATGCAAAGGCTGGGGTCCTAAGTTTCGCTTAGAGAAGAGAATGGATGAAAATAAGGTTAGGAAGGAAAAGGAAAGCAGAGGAAGGTGGCAGAAAAGCCATCTGGTATCAGCGAGATAAAAAGGCATTGACTAATAGCAAGAGATGGGATGACAGACATCAATCAAATGTTCTGGTCCTAAGTCAAGAAATTTTAGCATATCAGTTGGTAAAACTATCTTTTTCTTTACCTCCAAAAGACTTGTTTCTGGATTCTAAAATAGCTGTCAAAACATATTATCCCTTGCAATAAAAAGATGATGACTGAATACTTTAAGATACATGTAAAAAAGTGTACAATTAATAAAATGGTAAATTTTGTTACGTATATTTTACTACAAGAAAAAAAAAGTGAAATGGTAATAGCATCACTGTGTCTTAAAGTGATACCAGAAGAAGAAAAACATCAGATTGCACACGAAAGTCTTTCAGGGGAAAATTCAGAAGCACTTTACAAATGCAAACTGTCATCAAGGTCTTTAACAGACAATATCAATGATTCACAAAAACAGACACCTTTAGGTATACCTCAGATTCATCATTCCGTGCTCTCTTTGTAGGAATGCCATTTTCCTAGAAAAGAAAAGATGGTATATATGATTGTAACATGTCATGAAAATACAGCTGCACTGCAAAGCCATGAAAATATGCCTGTTGCATAAACGTCCCACTAGATGCTGTGCAGAAACCTGATGAAACAGAGAACCCACCAAAGGCTTAGTATTTGCACCCCCAAGTGCATGGGGCATCAAAGTGTTTCATAAAATGAATCATCAGAAAAGTTAAATTTCTTTCATGTACATTCTCCTAGATTTTATAAAATAAGCAAAGGCTCCATTCAGTCTTTAAGGAAAGACTGGCAGTTTCCAGTGATTGCACTTAAAACAGTCATTTCATTATTGAAATGAAACTCTAGGGAACATGGCTAACAAGCCATGAAAGAACTCGACTGCACCTCCTGCCTGGAAATCCCACCAAGGTGCGATTACTGTGCCACCACCATGCACTTTTAAATTAAAACAGAGTATATGCTGGGTTGGGAAGAAAAACTGCCATTCAGAAATGCTCACACACATTATATGTAACTTTTACACCAAAATGAGGAATGAATGAAACAAAACAAACAGAAAAATGATTAGTCCAAGTTTGCTCTGAAACGTTATTACTATTCCTAAAATACCACATCCCAAAGTACAAGGTGCAACAGTTCTAACTAATCATTACAGCCGAGAGCGGGGAAAGCCTATTTATTCAACCACTGTGCGTACCAATCTCCACAAGCCCAGAATTCACTAGCATATCTTGTTACATTTTGCCCTGCCCTATCCTAATTTTCATATTCCCCAAAACCCACCCTCCTTAGGCAGAATATTATGCCTGCTAATTTCTAGTCCACTCTTTCTTCCATACCTCTACCGTACCTACCACATGTTTCCCAATGTTGTTATTATTTTTGTTAGCTACACAGATGTTGTCATGGTACAGTAAGCAGCATCCTACCAGTCACTCCTTCTTTCATTACCCTTCCTAGTTTAACAGCACTTAACACTATCTGACTGACACGTTTGTTTTCTGGTTGTCTGTCTTCTCCAACTGAGTAGGAGCTATAACTATCTTATTCACCACTGCATTCCTAGTGCCTGGAATGCTGGCTGGCTTATGCAATGATTATTCAATGATTAAAACAGCAATTTTAAACCTGTGTGCCGCAAGAATTTTTAAAACATGCAATACTTGACTATTTAATCAAGGGCACTGACTTCTTTTCCCTTAGATTGTCAAATTTAAAAAAATGACAACAGCCAACACAACACCATCCGGTGTGAATGCCCTGTGTTGAATCTATTATATATATTATATATTATATATATATATATATATATGCATATGTATATGTATATATTATATATACATACATATATATAACATATATATATATCATATATATTATGTGATATATAATAGAGCTGTATCTTATTGGTCATATCACATAATAAGGTTGCATTTGATTGGTTAGTTCTTGGTACCAGAAACCCCTCTATACAAGTATAGGCACCTGATTTTTTAAAAAGTCACTTTGGAGCAAAAAATGTAGGAAATTATTATTATTATTATTATTATTATTATTATTGTAAATCAATCAAAATTACACCTTTTTTTCAGATAGACAAAATATATTTTTTGGTGTGCCACAGAATTTTAATGAGTCTGTATGTGCCATAAAATGAAAAAGGTTGGAAATCGCTGGATTAAATTAATGAACAAATGAATAAGTGAACACATGCACTTGTGGCCAAAAGGAAGGAGAGGTGATGGGAAACACAAGACATTTAGGTTGGATAGTTCACTGTCCCAAACAGAACAAAACATATGGATGGACACACACACACACACACCCTTACACTTATAGGGATACACACAGTAAAATGACATTCTTTCTGCTCTCTCTTCGGTTTCTTTCTCTCTCCGATTATATGACCCTTTGTTCTGTAGCTGAACACTTCTTAGAAGTAATGAGCTGAAAGGACTGCACAAGAGCAGTTAAGAGTACAAGTTATGGGTTAGGGCGCCGAAGTGCAAATCCCACCTCCACAACAGACTAGATTTCTGACCATGGGCAAGGCACTTACCCTCATTAACAACATAAGGGTAATAGTAGCCCTCGCCTACCGAGATAATGCAAAGCAAGCACTGAGCACAATGCTCTGCAAAGCACAATGAGCACCCAATAAATGTTCACTGCTATTCTCCTTATTGCCATCATTATTGACAGTCCAGTCCTCTGAAGGGCTAAAAGGCAGCACAAATCCTACTTCAGCCTTCCATAACCTTAGTATGATGCCTTATATTCGGCCTCCAAGGTAACACCAAGACAGTCAAACCACTCTTGCATTGGAAGCAGCTACCCACTTCACTGGCCTCTGCCCTACACTGATCTAAAAAGCCCAACCCCATCAACCAGCCCCATATGACCTGGGCCTGGAATGCAGTCCTGCTTATTTACTTAAGAACTGTGCCCCTCACTACATTTGGTAATGAAATAAACCAATTAACTACTGGCATTTTAAGGAAAGAATTTCCAACTCAGTGAGGGTAACTAACATTCGCTACCAGTTATGCCATCTTGCTAGCTAGGCAAATGCTCCCATGATTCTGAGCCATTCTCAGCTCTCAGCGCCGCCTTCAGCAGCAGGTCTCCCACGCCTACTTGACTTACATTCTTTCCTTGCTCATATCTGTCAAGTAACTTTAGGTTCCAGGAGAAGAGCTAGTCAAAGATTACCATCTTCCAACTTTATCTTTCCAGCATCTGCTTCGTAGAGTGGTTCAAGACCATGAGCTTTATGATCAGAATTGCTAGTTCAAAACCCCACCTCCACAACAGACTAGATTTCTGATCATGGGCAAGGCTATGATCAGTCATCAGTAACAACATAAGAGTAATAGTAATCCTTGCCTATTGAGATAATGCAGGCGAACTTAACCAGCTGTTTGATCTTAGATAAGTCAGTGAAATGCCTTCAGCTTCCATGTCCTTGGAGATAAAAGTAACGCATAAGGATTAAATAAAATGGCATATGTTCACATGGTGGCCAGCAAATAGAAAAAAAATCCACAAACGTTAATTATTTTATTATTATTATTAAAAATAAGCCTGTTGTTAACCTCTTAAATTCTTAACCTTAAGTCTTTATTTACTACCAGATTCTATGCTTTAGTGCCCACTACCATTTCTTTCTCCCTAAGTCTTCCAGACAGAATCCTATTCTCATACAAATTCTAATTCAGGAAGAAGGCTACCATCCAGGTGGTGGTAACTCATATCCTTCCTGACTTGTGACCACATTCTTTCCTTCCTAGATGCTTTCAAAAAGCATTTTATGGTGATACTAGAAGTATGTATTTTCTTCCCCAAAACAAGTTAAAACAATACCTCTTTAGATTCCACCTTCAGAGGAATATCATGAAAGGGGGAAATATAGTGACCAGCTTCATTCTCTGGAAAGAAAACAAACAATTAAACAATGAACAAGCCCATTCTTTAGAGCAAGTATACTTTTATCCACTTTAAACTTTAAAAAGGTTTTAAAAGTATTTTAAAAATTAACTGTAACTCCCAATTAAAGTTTAATTCAACTTTTAAAACTTGCTCCACTATAATCATTAAGAAATATACACCAAATAAACCATATTTAGGTTGCTGAAATCATTACTTATCCCTGTGGTTTAAACATCCAAAGCAGAAAATGTCTAAAATAGACTAAAATCCCAAATAAAAAAATGTCATTTTGAAAAGTCTTTATAAAGTGAATTGGATTAAAACTGATGTCAATTCCCTAAGACAGTGGTCGGCAAACTCATTAGTCAACAGAGCCAAATATCAACAGTACTTCTTCAAAATAGACTCGCTCAGACTGAAAACCGACTTCTGCGCATGGGCCACGAAGTTTCAATCGCACTGTACGTCCGCCCGCACGTGGTATTTTGTGGAAGAACCACACTCAAGGGGCCAAAGAGCCGCACGAGGCTCGTGAGCCACAGTTTGCCGACCACGGCCCTAAGGGAAACCGAACAACAAAATTCCCAATTTCTGCCTAAAGGTCCTACCCAAATAAAAGAAATGAATAATTCCTTTCCACTCAACGTGATAACAATGGTAATATTAAGGTAAATTTCTTAAAAAAAACTTTAATAACCTAACTTATCTTCATTACATACTGAAATGTATGTTTTAAATACCTTTAAAAATATGTATCATTTAAATAAAATACAATAAACCAACAGGCACTTTGTATATTTCAATCATCAATCTGTAATTCTTTTCTCTGCTTTAAGTCACAAAGATAAGGTAGAATTTTGAAGAGAATAAAAATACAATCCTTTAGCCCAGCCAGCATGGCGCAGTGGTTAAGGGTCGACCTATGAACCAGGAAGTCACGGTTGGATTCCTGGTCAGGGTGCATGCCTGGGTTGCAAGGCTGGATCCCCAGTGTGGGGTGTACAGGAGGCAGCCTATCAATGATTCTCTCTCATCACTGATGTTTCTACCTCTCTCTCCCTTTCCCGTCCTCTCTGAAATCAATAAAAATATTTTTAAAAAATACAATCCTTTAGTACAGCGATTTTCAACTGGTGTGCCACAAGAATTTTTAAAACATGCAATACCTGACTATTTAGCCAGGGATACTCACCTCTTTTCCCTTAGATTGTCAAATAAGAAATGATAACAGCCAGCACAGCAATAGCCATCAGGTATGAATAAATCAAAATTATACCTATTTTTGGTCAGATCAGCAAAAAACAATGTGTTTTTTTTGGTGTGCCATTGAATTTTAATTAGTTTATGTGTGCCCTGAGATGAAAGAGGTTGAAAATTGTTGCTTTAGCAGATTACTTCAGTTGTTACATTAGGGACTACCACTGTGATGAAAATTAACAATAATTTCAGCTCTAAGAATTCCAAATGCTGCACAAACCAGATAAATTCATTATTAAAATTAAGGCAGGAAACTTGACAGAATAGCTGGGCTGCCTTTGTAATTAAGAGTAAATGATACCTGCCATAACCAGTTTGGCTCAGTGGATAAAGCGTCGGCCTGCGGACTGAAAGGTCCCGGGTTCGATTCCGGTTAAGGGCATGTACCTTGGTTGCGGGCACATCTCCAGTAGGGAGTGTGCAGGAGGCAGCTGATTGATGTTTCTCTCTCATTGATGTTTCTAACTCTCTCTCTCCCTTCCTCTCTGTAAAAAATCAATAAAACCATATTTAAAAAATAAAAGTTAAAAAAAAAAGGAGTAAATGATACCTCACTCTAGCTGGTTTGGCTCAGTGGATAGAGCATTGGCTGCAGACTGAAGGGCCCCGGGTTCAATTCCAGTCAAGGCACATGCCTGGGTTGTGGGCTCAATCCCCAGTGTGGGGGTGTACAGGAGGCAGCCGATCAGTGATTCTCTCTCATCACTGATGTTTCTATTTCTCTCTCCTTTTCCCTTCCTCTCTGAAATCAATAAAAAATAATATATATCTACACTAATAAAAGAGAAACATGCAAATTGATGTCAACAAAGATGGCGGTTAATTTGTATACACAGGCACGGAGCTAAGACTGAAGGCTCTGGCCAGAGTGAAGACTGAAAACTGAAGACTGAAGGCTGAAGAGCCAGCGGAGAAGCCAAGCCTCACTGCGGCCAGAGGGGAGAAGCCTAACCTCGAGGCTTGGCTTCTCCACTGCGGCCGGACCAAAGGCCTAGGTCCTAGGTGTCGGCAGCCAGGGGAAGGAAGGCCTATTGCACGAATCTTCATGAAACAGGCTTCTGATATATAAATATACATACACACACACACACACACACACACACACACGAGAGTAAATGATACCTCTAGCATACAAATCTGGTGATAAATTTCCCTAAAGCTCCAATGCTCCTATTAACTGAGAACAAGCCCCAACAAATGTATTAAGATGTAAGTTGAGTGCACATCACTCAAGGCTGAAGAAGATATGAAGTTGTGATCAGCAAAAGCTGAAGGTCTGTGAGAACTGCTCTTTAAATTGGGATCTAAATAACATTCTATTTAAATACTAAGGTAATGACAATATATGTATAAGTTGTTTTCTAATTGCCATTTCGGAAGGTAAAAAGAGTATAAATAAGTGAATGGTCTAACTCAGGTAACCATATATTTAAATCATCATATAAATAAAAATGTAATAAAAATTATTTCTAGGAAAATAAAATATGGCCCTAGATCACATATAATAATGTTTTGGGTGAGCAATACGCCAATAAATTCACACAGGAGCAATGCATGCAGAGGCCAAGAGCCTGAGTTCTAGCTCCTGAGCTTGATAAAGTAAATCAATTTATTGGAAACCTAATTCTTCTCTACGTTGTTCAATTAAGCAATGTATAATTTAGTTACGTAAAAGGAAATGTACTAAATGCTGGGATACAAAGGTGCTAAAAAGTGAGCTATGCCCATAGCTAAGACAGGGTTGTGCTCCATCGCAGGAGCACCCTCAGCCGGTTAGCTTAAAGAAAAAGGGAGTTCTCCGGGCAGATTGAGAGAGCTAAGCACTGACCTAATGCACAAGAGAAGGATGAGAATCTTCCATTAGACATTTGCTAGGGTCAGTGCTATTATGCTCCATTTAAAGTATTAAGATTCTCCAAAGGTGGATTTAAAGATATGCACTATCTATCCTGATCCTATAAAATCAAAGGGTAATCCATATTATACCTGTGAGCCATAGAGATGGAAATGGTCTATGCAGCAAGGACTGCTGCAATGTACATCACTCGTTAAAGATAATAGAAGCACACATTAGAGACAGTCCTTTCTCAGAGGCTCAGAGTAAATTAGTGAAGCTCTGAAGCTCTGACCAGTTGCTTCTTTAGAGTTGAAACCAAGTTGTTGCCAATTTACTTTTCCAAATATCTATTTTGTTGTTGTTTAAACAAAACAATGCATATGCAAGATTAAACTAGTACAAGTCCCCACCACTCTCCACTACAGGCCTATCAGAGCAACCCACTCTCACCTCTTTAATTTACTTAGGTCTAGTGTAGATTTTATTCATCTTCCTAAATAATATAACTATGATTAGTTGTATCCATTTTAGAAATTATCTACTGATTCCAATACTGAGAAATAAGTTTAGTTCAACCTATTCCTCTTAAACTCTCTATTAGCTAATCTTTACACTTTATGGTCTTTATTCTTTGTTCCACCAAACATATACAGCATTTTTTGATTCTACTAATCAGCTTTTTACCCTCTTTCCTCATTCTTCTCACTCCTAGTTATTGTCTCCTGAACTTTTATATTTTCATATCAAGGCTGATAAAATGTTCAATATTCTAATATTAAATTTTCTATGCTTTTCCTATTTTCATACAAAGTTGACTTCTTGAACAATACAGATTTGAACTGAGCAGGTTCACTTATAAGCAGATATTTTCCCCCAAAAAATAATGTAGTCTGGCCAGTATGGCTCATGGGTTGATGCACCAGGAGGCTGCCAGTTTGATTCCCAGTCAGGGCATATGTCGGGGTTACGGGCTCGATCCCCAGCAGGGAGTGTGCAGGAGGCAGGGGATCAATATTGATGTTTCTCTCTCATCAATGTTTCTTTCTTTCCTGCTCCCTTCCTGTCCCTCTAAAATCAATAAAAACATATAAAAAATACTATAAATGCATTTGCCTTTTGATTTTCTTAATAGCTTTTTCTTTTCTCTAGCTTACTCGACTGTAAGGATACTAGTGGCCCAGTGTATGAAATTCGTGCAGGGGGGGTGTCCCTCAGCCCAGCCTGCACCCTCTCCAATCAGGGACCCCTTGGGGGATGTCCAACTGCCAGTTTAGGCCCGATCCCTGTGGGATCCCTTTTGCAATCTGGGACCACTGGCTCCTCACCAGCAGTCAGACATCCCTCTCACAATCTAGGACCGCTGGCTCCTAACCGCTCACCTGCCTGCCTGCCTGATCACCCCTAACTGCCTCTGCCTGCTTATTGCCCTTAACCCCTCTACCTGCCTGTCTGCCTGATTGCCCCTAACTGCCCCCCTCTGCCAGCCTGATCTCACCCCCAAATGCCCTCCCCTGCAGGCCTGATCTCGCCCTAACTGCCCTCCCCCGTAGGCCTGGTCATCCCCAACTGCCCTCCCCTGCTGACCTGATTGCCCCTAACCCCTTGCCGGCCTGATCTCACCCCCAACTGCTCTCCCCTGATCGCCCCTAACTGCCTCTGCCTTGGCCCCCGCCATCATGGCTTTGTCGGGAAGGAAGTCAGACATCCAGAAGATGGCAGTCGACCCAGTCTAGTTAGCATATTACCCTTTTATTAGTATAGATTATATAGGATAGGATTGCTTAAAGGGGGGCGGGGGAGCCTTTTTCAGCAGGAGGAGATGCTCTTAGCAGACAAAAATACATAATCCCTATATTTGGACTGATAGCCACCCATATGCACTATACTGCCAAACCGGTCATTAAA